AGAAGATGGAAGGACCTCTCATGCTCATGGACTGGAAGAATTAATATTGTGAAAATGGTCATCCTACCAAAAGACATTTATAGATTCAATGCAATGCCATTCAAAATCTCCATTGCATTCTTCACAGAATTGGAAAAAATACATCCTAAAATTCATATGGAAGCACAAAAGACCTCAGATAGCCAAAATAACCCTGAGCACTAAGAGCAATGTTGGGGGATTACTATACCAGATATTAAACGGTATTAAAGGGCTATAGTCATTAAAAAAAAACATGGTACTGGCACAAAAATAGACATATTGATCAATGGAACAAAATTGAAGACCCAGATATAAATACATGCAATTTAAGCAACCTGATATTTGACAAATGGGCCAAGAACATTCACTGGAGGAAAGAAAGCATGTTCAGTAAATGGCACTGGTGAAACTCAATCTCCACCTGTAGAGGAATGAAACTAAACCCCTATCTTTCACCTTATACAAGTCAACTCCAAATGGATCAAAGACCTCAATGTGAAGCCTGAAACTCTGAAATTGTTAGAAGAAAATATGATATAGGTGCAGGAAAGGATTTTCTGAACCTGACATCAATTGCTCAGGAAACAAGGTCAAGAATCAACAAATGGGACCTCATTAAACTAAAAAGGTTCTGTACATCAAAGGAGGCAACCAGGGAAGTGAAGAGAAAACCCACAGAATGGAAGAAAATCTTCACCAGTGACACATCTGACAGAGGTTTAACATCCACAATATAAAATGAACTCAAAAAACAAAGAATCAAGAAAGGAAGTAATCCAATTAAGAGCTGGGCTAAGGTGCTGAACAGAGAGTTCTCAAAAGGAGAAATAAAGATGGCTAATAAGAATCTTAAAAAGAGTTCGACTTCATTAGTAATTAGGGAAATGCAAATTAAAACCACTTTAAGAATTCATCTTACCCCAGTCAGACTGGCTAAGATCAAGAGAACAAAAGAGGGGCTGGAGAGATGGCTCAGTGGTTAAGAGCACTGACTGCACTTGCAGAGGACACCAGCACCCACATGGTGACTATGAACCATCCCTAACTCCAGTTCCAGGGGAATCCAAAGCCCTCTTCTGATGTCTGTGGCATTGCATGACACAGGTGTACTTATATACACGCAGACAATACACTCATACACATGAAATAAAAATAATAAATAAAAGTTAAAAAAGAAAACAAATGATATCAAATGTTGGAGAGGATGTGGAGAAAGGGAAATGCTCATCCACTGCTGGTGGGGTTGCAAACTTGTCCAACCCCTATGGAAAGCAGTGCGGAGAACTCTTAAAAAACTGAAAATGAAGCTACCATTTGACCCCTTATACTGCTCTTTGGCATATACCCAAAGAACTCATCCTATTGCAGAGACACCTGCACATTCATGTTTGTTGCTGCTCTTTTCACAATAGCTAAGAGATGGAAGCAACCTAAGTGTCCCTCAGCTGAAGAGTGGATAATGTGGCTCATTTATACTATGGAATTCTACTCAGCAGTAACATGAAATTTGCAGGTAAATGGATGGAACTAGAAACTGCTATACTAAATGAAGTAACACAGACTCAGAAAAAAAAATCGACATATGTTCCCTCTCATATGTGGATCCTAGCACCAAATCCTGATGAGTGTGTATCCAGACATAACTACAGGAACAAGGATAATGAAAAGGAACCAGGGAGGTAAAGAAAAAGAAAGAATCTGAAAGAGAAGAACAGTAGGAAACAGGCGTTAATAAGGGATATATGGGTAAAAATTGGGTTACTTTAGTGGGGTGGGGGTTATACAAGGAACCTTGGGGTTAAAGAGAAAGAAGCAGCTCAAGAGAGGTAGAACCATAGGAGACAGGTATTACTAAGGGAGAAATGGGGGCACTTTAAATGGGGAAACCATGGTGGAAAAGTTAGACAATGAGAGAGATAAATAATGCCTAGCTCATTAAAAAAAAGAACCATATTAGTCCAATAACCTACTGACAAATTGTACATACAATTAGCTCAAGGAACATAATATATGCCTAGTCAAGGATTATCTGAGAACGTTTGGTTGTTGCCCAAGCTTTATCTACATAATGCATGGTAATTAAAAGTACCAGACTGGTGGAACTGACCTTCTTGGATGTTTAAAAACCATACTTTGAGGCCTATACTAATCTGGTCAGAGGGACTTAAAGGACAGTTTTGCTCCTTGACCTCCAAGGTAGACTATGTTCCAGGGGAATATGGATCATCTCTCAAGGTGTCCTGTAACTGTGGTCAATCACCTGTCCTCCTCTTGATCAAGGAGGACATGGAGACCACACCAGATGGACTTGAACCAGTGTCCAGTCTACAAAGAGGAGGGTCAACACAGAGGAGACATTTCCTCCATGCTTCCAAGTGAAGGAAGCCAGACATGGTCAAGCAGGACCTTTGACTTATTTTCACATAGGCGGAACTGGTAAAAGAAAGGAGCCAATGGCTCCTCCCAAGCCTATGTGACCCCTGAGGAACAGATCTTCAAACAATCTTAAGAGTAAAAATAAACTGGTTTATTTGGCCAAATGTATGGTCTTAAACACAAAAAAGGAAAGTATAACCAAAGATTAAAGTGATCGGCATAATTCTTTAAGAGTGCATGTGTATAGCTAAAGGCTACATAAGAAGAAAAAATGCCAGACAGGAGATCCCTTCGAGTTGTTGGCTGGGGTGGCCCAAGAGACTCTGGGGCAGTAGCCCAGCATACAACTGGGAAAATGAACCGCAGAACCAAATCTTATCTAAAGGAATGTTGGCAACTGATTGCTGCTAGATGAGGAAGAGCTGATCTTCCTAAAACAAGGAATGCAAGGTAGGCTGATTAGACTCAGCAGATGAACTATCCCTGGGAAATTGCTGGGGGCACTGATAACACAGTGGACAGTAATAGGGATGACAGGGCATATGGGCTCCATGGTGGGGGGGGTCTATGGGAGAGTGCCATTTGGGATGCAGGTATAAAGATGAATAAGATTGTTTGGGATGTTCTGTATGAAATACAGAAAAAAACATCAAATAAAAAACTGGAAAAAATTCAATTTTATGTAGGACTTAAAAATTAAAAAATATATACATATTAGCTACATTTAACCAAGGTGAAAATATTAAACAATAGAAACCATTTAAGAGAAAATGAGAAAATTACAAAATTACTTCATAAAGGAATTATACCTTTAAAGAAAACATGGTTATATCAGCTTAGTATGAACAGATCAATTTTTTCCCCTAAATTATGCAAAAGTAAAATATATCTTTCTAGAAACTTCTCCCATTTTTTGAATCATTTAAAATTACATTATACATAAGTTAATGCTACAAATTCTCATTGTTTCATGATCCATATCCCTACTCCTTAATCCAGACACACACAAAGACTCACTTATACAAGCATATAGATATACATACTTACCAATTTTTAAAAGATTTAATTTTATTTTTAATTGTATGTATATATGTGGAGGTGTGCATGTGAGTACAGTGCCCCTAGAGGCCAGAAGAGAGCATTAGATCCCCTAAACCTGGAGTTACAGGCAATTGTGAAGCCCTCTTGGTAGGTATTGGGAGTTCTCAAGAGCAGAGTGTGCTCTTAACTTATGACCCATGTCTCCAGCCCCCACACAATCAATTTTACAGAAAATGAAGTCAGCATAGATTCTTGGGAATAATGCAATTTTTCTCAGAAATTGTCTTAAGCTACCCCATAGTTTTAAGGCTACATGAAACATTCCAAATTACAAAGTCTAGAGAACCGATTTCATTCTTAAAAATACCTTAACAACTGTAGTTATGAAAATAAAAGAAACATCATGTATTTACACTGTTTATTTATGATTTATGTAAAATTTACTTATTTGGCAAGAATTGTCAGAACTCAACTGACATCTCAAAATGTCCAAAGTGATTCTTTAAGTTCATAGATAAAATAGAATTATTTGCCATTATCAGTAAGAATAGCACATCTTTGAATTAGCTAGCAATTTGGAGCATTTAAATATGGGAGAAAAGTTTTCCCTGTAATTAATGTTGGGGATGTGAGGTTGGTACAGAAAAAAAGAACAAACGTCTGCTGCAGAAAAAGCATCAACTGTTTGGCAGACGTTTTGTACAAATTATGCCTAATATTTACAACCATTCTGGAAGCTAAGTACTTTTCCTCATTTAGCAAAACAAAAACTTCTCCATAAAATATTTTAGTAAGTTACCAGAGAGCACAGCTAATCAGAGGCAGGACGAGGATCAGAGGCCAGGTCTATGGAAAGAGGTGAGGCTCATTCCCTTCTCATTGACAGACTGACAGCAGGAAGGTGAAGTCGCCACTGTGTATATTTGTGAGAATGGGGTATAAATGGGCCAACCCATAAGTCACTGGCATGCAGATGGTCGGGCATTTTTCTGGATAAGGAAGCTCATTAAGCACGTGAAGGAATATTTGTTTGACCACAAAGATGGGACCATAATGATGAATTTTTTATTGTAACTGCAGGAGATCAACCTACATTTATACGGCCTCTGGTTTGATTCTGAAGACAGCAAAAAGTTCTTGAGATCTTCATCATGTTATCTGAATTTCTCTACAAGTTTCCTAAGAGCAGCCATGACTTCCTTATTTCTCAAGCTGTAGATGACAGGGTTCAACATGGGTGCTCCCACAGCATAGAATAAAGCAACCATCTTCTCCTGGTCCGTGGAGGAGGCAGAGCGGGGCCCCAGGTAGGTGAAGATGCTAGCCCCAAAGCACATGCACACCATAGTGAGGTGAGAGGCACAAGTTCCAAAGGCTTTGTGACGGCCCTGGGTGGAGCGGATCCGCAGAATGGCAGTGACTATGTGAGCGTAAGAGAACAGAGTCATCGAACAGGGGAGCATGATGACCAGAAATCCTGAAATGGCCACCATGACCTTATTGAAAGAGATGTCCACACAGGCTAGCCGAAGCACTGCGAGGGTCTCACAGGCGAAGTGGTTAATAACGTTGTGACACAGAGGAAGGCGGAAAGTGATGATTGTTTCCATCAGTGAGTTCAAGAAACCAGCCACCAAGCAACTGGCAGCCAGCCGCAAGCACAGTCCCCTATCCATGATGACTGTGTAGTGCAGTGGGTGGCACACCGCCACATAGCGGTCATAGGACATAGCTCCCAGTAGGAAGAACTCGGAACCACCCAGTGCCAGGGAGACATAGAGCTGGAGCACACAGCTATGGAATGGGATGAGCTTTTGGGCAGAGACAAAGTGGACCAACATTTGCGGGGCAATACTATTTCCATAGCTGAGGTCTACCAAGGACAGACCACTAAGAAAGAAGTACATGGGTGTATGAAGTCTGCTGTCCAGTCTAATGAGGAGAATAATCAAGGAATTCCCCACCACAGTCACCACGTACATAGCCAAAATCAGGACAAAGAGGAAGACTTCAGTGCCCCAGTCACTGGACAGCCCCAACAAGATGAACTCGTTCACCCATGTCTGGTTGGCAGTTTCCTGGCCCATGAATTTTAGGACTGGAAGGGTGTTTTTCAGACCATACTGAAAGTTTGCACTTCTGAGCCCACAATCTGCTTGAACACATCCACAGCGAAGATCACAATGAGAAGTAGCTGTGCATCTGGAAATTAAGGAGAAAAGAAGTGACATTCTCAGAATTCAGTTCAGTGAAATGTTATTTCTTCTCCCAAATACCTGCCCTTAAATGGGAGAGGAAATTAATGAAGCAATTTCACGTTCAAAATCCTATTCGGCTTAGCAGTTATATTGGGGGATTATTCCTCTCCTTGTGAGAAAGGTTTTTTTAATAAAATAATTTATTGAGAATTTCATACATGCATATAAGGTGTTTGATCAAATCCATGCACACTCCCTCCTCTCCAACTCCTCCCATATCTCCCCATCACATTTTTCTGATAACTTCAAGTACTCTTTCTTCTTCTTTTTTTTAAATGGGGCATTTTGCTACTCTAACATTCCCCCCTCTGAAGAGGTAACCCTAAAATCTTATAAGGATTAGGTAAGAGCTCCCAAATACTTTTGACATTTTTGGCCTTTGGAACACAAACTATGCTTCTCTTAATTCTAAATGATATCCAGTTCTATTTAATTTCTTTTTGTTTACTGGAGTTTCCCTGTAGAGCTCTCAGACTCAATCTTAACCCCTACAGAGAATGCTTGCAAAGAGTTAGCCACAGAAGGAGAGGCTTGAGGCTAGGAGATGACTGGAACACCCAGTGGTAGGCGTGGGGACCATGGAGGGTCTAGGTGTACTCAAGAATAGGGTGGCCTGGAACTTATAGACCTGGGGCAAGACTCCTGGCCCCTGAGGCATGGGCAAACGCTAGTATGGCGGGGTCTGAGCCAGCACAGAGCTGAGGGGGAGCTAGGCACTGGGTGTTCGTTTCTTTCTAAGTCACTCCCCTCCCCCCTACGATAATAATAAATGTACATAAAGATATGTTATATGGTTTGCCTGATAGCGCAAGAGACCCAGAGAGAACTCTGGCGACACCCTGTGACTACAGAGGAGTGCCCACGCAGTACCTCTGTTGATGGCTTCCAGTTTCTGCTTTTGGACTGGTCATTAGACATCAACCCATTTAGAGGTGGTCGAGGTAGCTAAGGTTAAAGTTCAGTACTATGAAAATATCATTGTTCAGATGATTAGCTGTAAATTATTCAGGAATTAATATTGTTTGAAATGAGGTCTATGATGCCAAGAAAATTCATCAAAGCTGTTTTTTTTTTTTTTAGAAATTATACTATAATTAGAGAAAATTAGAGAACTGTTAACCTCTCAGGCCAGTCGACTGAACCACGTTGCTACAAGCTCTAAGAATAGCAAAGAAAGGCACAAAGCTTGGAGGTGTTAAATGCCACTCTTCAAAAGGATTCAAAACCCTGGGGCTGGGAAGATAATTCAGTCAGTAAAGTGATTGCTTTGTAAGCACAAGGGTCTGAATTCAATCTCCATAGCACACTGTTTTTAAAAAGGCATGGTACCACATACAATTCCAGTAATGAAAAGGCAGAGACAAGGGACTCTCTGAAGCTCACTGGCCAGCCAGCCTGGCTTACTTAGTAAATTCTAAGCCAGTGAGGAGATCTTGTCTCAGAAAAACAAGGTAGATGGCACCTAAGGAACAACAGCCATGGCTGTCCTGTGGCCTCCACATGCAGGTATGCATAATATACAGGCACATATATTAAGACAAACACTCTTACAAACTGCTTACAAAGATCTCAAATGTGGGACTGGAGAGATGGCTCAATAGTTAAGAGCACTGGCTGCTCTTGCAGAAGACCTGGGTTTGAATCCCAGCACCCACATGGCAGCTAACAACTGTCTGTAACTCCAGTTCCAGGGAATCGGATGCCCTCTTCCGTCCTCCCTGGGCATTGCATGACACAGGTGCACTTACATACATGCAGGCAATATACTCATACACATAAAATAAAAACAAAGGTCTTTTTTAAAGACCTTAGATGTAACTGAGACAGCAGTGCTCCCAGATGTGAGCATGGCCGCACTAGCATAAAAACATGACTGGATCCGAGGACCGCTCCACAAGAGGGAATCCATGCCTGCTACTGTAAAGCCAGTCAAAAACCCATGACTGAGCTAGTCCTGGGGGGGGGGGGACTTACCACTGCTGCTTAGCTAAATTGACACATCAAACCATCTTCTAAATATCTTTCTTATACACACAGAGACAAAGGCCATTCTCAGTCTTAATCTGAGAAACCCAACTTTGCAGTGAACAGAGGTTCATGCTGCATGGTAGAGACCAGGGCTGCACAAGACACTAAGAATAAAGTGCTGTGGAAGGTTCAGTCCTAAACAAGACATTGGAACCACCCCCTTATGGGTCAGGGAGACTTTCAAAAGAGGAGGCAGAAAGAAAGAGCCAGAAGATGAGGACAAGCATTACAGAATGCCATCTTCTAAGCACAACAAGGCCAGTCATGAGCTGCTGTTATTAGACCCACACAAGTTAGTGCCCATCCGCAGTCAGCTAAGGATGGGGAAGGGGTTTACGGGCCTACTACTTACTGATTACTACTGGAAACTAACAGGTTCTGAGAAGTGGGGAGGCATAGTATCCACTGGTGAGCCCACAGGCACTGATGGATAAGAGAGCCCTAGTTAAACTCTATGAGACACAATACAAAACCAAAGGTCACCAATATGGAAACCAGATCCATAGGGGAGGAGGGGTAGAGAGAGATGGGAGAGAAATAGAAGAGGAAGTGGGGGATAATAAGAATGTATTATATACATGTATGAAATTGCCAAAGAACAAAATCTATTAATAAAAAAGAATGGTTAATAGTGGGTTTATTTACTGTACTTTCATGTCTACAACTTGGACTTAAAAGAATAAAACCTTTAAAACACACAAAAGGAGAGGATCTATGCTTAAACTAAGTAATAAAATCAATGAAATGTATTTCCCAAAAACTGCTCATGTAAATAATCTCTTATTATCCCAAGTAAAATTTATTTTATGTTTTTAGGAGTGATTATGAAAGCTAAAGAATGTCCATAAGTGGGAACGATGAGACAGTGGATTTGCTGACGAGCTACCTACAGGAACAAATGGGTGGGCTGACTTTTCTCTAAGAAAATCTTGAAGTAAACACACCTGTATATTGTTAAAGTCCCGTTTTAAACCCTGGCACTTCTAATGTTTCTAGTCTTGTTATTTTTGTCTCTGCATCTTATGTTCTGTCCTTTATAGTGGTATTTTTCTAGAATCTGAGTCTAGTATAGTGAAAACCCTGCTCAAAGTAGTTAACACTGAGATGGAAGATTCTCAGTTTTAAACTGAGAACTTCAAAATTAACTGCACACATGCAATTTCACTACCATTACAGAAAGCCCCAAATTTCTTAGGTGCAAAAACACTTATCTAGGACCTGGGGAGACGGCTCAGCTGTTAAGAGCACTTCTTGCTCTCATAGAAAACCTGATTTCAGTTTGTTGCACTCATCGTGAGTAGCTCACAACCACTTGTAACTCCAGCTCCAGAGGATCTAACGCCCTCTTCTGGACTCCATGGGCACCTGCACTCCCATGTGTACAGATTACCCCTCTCTAAAATGAATAATTTAAAAGTAATTTAAAATCTTAATATATTTTATCTAAATTGCATGTAGATGTTTTGTAAATAACAGGAAATTCTCTGACAGAATCATCCTGGCACAGTGGAGATGCTCATAAGTACATAATACCCTTCATTCAGAGCCTTTGCAAGAAGCTAAACACAGGATCGGAAAAGGAACACTAATTACTAGGAACACAAAGGACAAGGGGCATAGGGCAGATGTGAGCAGAGCCTAGGCTGCAGTCCTTGCCCACGGTCCATCTGCCTCTGTGGGCATCAGTCTCCCCACTGACCAGCTCCTCTCTCATTCCACTGCAATCTTGTTCCTTCTCTGTTCCAGAACACTTAGAGAGTGGTCCAGAAGTAGAACAAGGCACAACTGATGGACTCACCACATTTTATCTCAAGTAGAAATATATATATATATATAATACCTTTGGGTGTGTGTGTGTGTGTGTGTGTGTGTGTGTGTGTGTATGTGTGCAGGCACATGCCCTGGTGAGTGTACATATATGTGGAAGCCAGAGAACAACCTTGATTGTTGGTCGTCCAATGCTGTCCACTCTGTTTTTTCAGACAGTCTCTTACTGTGATCTGGAGTTCAGCAATTACAGTACTGGTCAGTGAGACACCCCCAGGATCCACTTGTCTCTGCTTCCCCAACACTGAGATTACAAGTGTGAATCACCAAACCCAGCTTTTTAAATGTGGGTGGTGGGAACTGAACTCAGGTCTTCATGCTTGAGTGGCAGACAGTTTAGAAATAGAGGTATCTTTCCAGCCTCCACAATTTTCAGGTTACTGTAATTGACCTGTGCCTTTGAGTCTTTTTGAGGCAGATCAAACATTTCCTCTTCATTTGAAACATACTTTCAAATGGAGTGATGACTTTTGCAAAACTAGGTGTCCCTTAAAATGCCAGAGGATCAGCTTTCAGATGTGTAAAGTCTAGATTTGACAAAAGTTACCCCTTTCCCCAAAGCTTAGGCATATATTAAATAACAATAATAAAAGTAACAAAATGGGGACTAGAGAGATGGCTCAGGGATTAAGAACACTGGCTGCTCTTGCAGAGGATCTGGGTTTGATTCCCAGCACCCACATGACAGCTAACAACCATCCACATCTCCAGTTCCAGAGTATCTGACACCCTCTTCTGACCTCCCTGGGCATTGCACTACAAAGGTGTCCTTACATGAATGCAAACAATACACTCATACACATAAAATAAAAATGATAAATAATTTTAAAAAATAACAAAACAATTGATTAAGGGAATATGCATGGAAATATCCTTGAAACTGTAAGAATATTTTTAAACATGTAGCAACTAAATAAGCATATGTCAAATCATAATAACAAAAACTTGAAGCATAATGTTTAAGAATGTTAAAC